GTGACTAGAAATCAGCACAGGGTGTAAGCGTAAATTAACATCTTGAAGTATATTTAAACATTTAATAAAATTTCCTGCTGCTACTCTTACTATATTGATTTTTCCTTTATTCCGACGTTTCGATTTATCGCTTATGGGCGATGGCCCGATGTGGCTTCTATGCCTCAAGCCGAAACATCGGAATGAAGGAGAAAATCTATATCACTCCCAAAACGCTGTCTTGTTGAAAAGTTCGAAATCTGCATCGCTTTTAAAACGCTGAAAATGAAGGATTTGCAAACATAGTTTTCGATCTTTGTTTGACCGTACGTTTCTGCAAGTGACAAATCTCTGCGTATGCTAATAATTCAGACTCTGGAGGAAGAATTTTTTCACCATATATATTTTTGGTCTTGTTTTTCGAAATGGTTTCCACGTATAATAACTTTTTAAATACTTTTGAACAGTTTTCTTATGCGTGATATTAGAATATCCACACGTAGAATAGCGATAATCAAGATTGATGTTGCTGTTGGTTTCGCAAACAAAATCAGTAGACTGCCAAGTTAAACTACCACTGCTTTATATTTAACCGTTCAAGCCATGTATTCATCAAAGCACTCTATTTTATTTAACATCTGTTTACTATACTTAGAATTGTAACTTACAGATAGTTCTCGCTCAATGGCGGTTTGACTTAGAAAATTTCGATTTTGTGATGATGCATTATGATGCGCTGTTAATATCTGTAGCGGTTGCGATCTTTAACTTATCATACACTGTTTAGCAATGTATTATACAGTAACGATATGATCATAGTTATAAGAGATTTGCAAAATTTGGAAGAAAATACAGGATGCTCTTGCTTGCTATAAAAAGAATTTATAATGAAAAGAAGAAACAGACTGTGAAGCAAGCGTCTGTTTCTGAACCATCAACAAATGTCGACGATCCAGTGTCTTCAGTGAGCTATACTCGCGAACGCGAATCATCAGAATAATAAGAAATTGATGTCCTCCTCCCCATCATCTTCCACCAACTGTTAAGTGTTTAATTACTGGCATTTAATTAGTTACAGTAATTATTCGTTTGTTTACTTATTAAATGACGGCAGTTATTTATCATATTGTATCCATATGCGACTTGCGATTTTTTTTAATTTACGATGAGTTCAACGCAACGTTAGTCGAGGAACATTTATATTCCTAGAGGAAAACAACTCAGATAAATGCCGGATGTGTGGCAATAGAGCGGAATCGATCGAATGTATTGTCCCTGATTGTGGCGTTTGGCTAACACTGAGGACCTCAAACATCATGATAGCATTGTAATGATCGTGCACCAACAGTTGGTACTCGAATAACCTTTGCTCTCCAAAACCACTCCATGTTGTCGGTACAATCGAGTAAGTTTGCTTCTTGAGGGTGCCCAGTGTACCTTCATTTTCGACTATTCTGTAGTCACTGGTAGTCGTTCATCACAATCGTAGAGAGAGAACAGATACTAGAAAAAGAATTTTTGATTTTGCTCTTCCACTGGACGAAAATGTGCAAAAAATTGGGGTGAAGAAAATGATAAAATACCAGAAGATGGCTATCATTATGAAGCAGATATACCGGGTTAAAAACTGTGATCACTATACCAGTGAACATCTCCGCGAATGGACTCAAAGCTCTGAAATCAATAAGGGTGAGCTTTGACTACCTGAAACTCACAGAAAGGCCAATGAGAAAGTGCCAGAGAATAGTTGTTTTGGCTACAGTCAGGATAGTACAAAGAATCTTGGATATAGTCAATTCATACTAAGCCACAGCTACTTGACTGTGCTTGACCCCTGTGTGCCATCAGAATTCATTATATGTTATGTTATACTTTTAGTTTTAACTATGAATATTTACTGTAACAGCAGTTTTAACTATCATTAGCATCGCTGTTCTTTCGGCGACCAAAACTGTGCCATGCCCTTAAACGTTGTGTTGAAAGGGCCCCAATCATTATGCCTCTCTACAGTGGTTCTGCCATATGACTGTCGAAGATGTTGCGGTTGGTCCCAAAGCGGTTCTTGTCCAAACATCAAGCGGCTGGTGTTCTCCATTGCGTCTTCAGGTCAAGAAAATTGTACGTTTGATTTGCGGTCATGTATTCAAATCTTTTTGCTTTACTTTGATTGCAGGCGAGCCAATCGTCCGAAATTATCCTCATTCTGGATCGAATTCTAGGATGATTAACATCAGCCTTTAAAACCGCGATATGGGATAGGTACCAGGAGACTTGCTTTTGTTTCTCGGCATATT